TACTGTATCTTTGAAATGTTATTTACTACTGAAAATGTTAATAAAAATTAAAGTGAAGAAAAAATGTAATTGTTTATTCTCAATGAAAACAAAAGAGCTGGCATGGCAGCAAACTAATAGATTCTCAGGAGGAAAATATTAAGTAAAGACAGACAGCAGCATTCTGTATAGCCAACAATGCAGAACGTATTTGAACGTGAAGAGAGGCGGACTTTAAAGGAGTGGGTTGAAAAATAATTGTTGAAATCTGTGCTCACTGTACAAACAGGAACAGGTGTAAGTGGGCAGGACAAGTCGAGTGAACTGCAAGAGCTGAAATGAGGAAACGTGGGAAAACACAATTGACAAAACACAGAAATAAAATAAACCATGAAGGGAATAAATCTAAAACTAAACTCAAAGATCTTAAAATACACAATGCATGGCATGGTCCTGGATGACTAAAAAGTTTTATTTTAGTCTTCTCTGACTAAAAATATCGAATCTCAAATATGCTTTCAGGCAAATACCAAACACTCTGTCTTGTTGAATCTCATTGTGGAGCGAAGAGGAGGAATTGGAAATATCTTTCATCAGTCTGTCCAACTGTAGGTCCAGCCATGCATGTTGTGAGCATGATAACTTGAAAAATAAACTTGTTATTGACTTCCATTTTGTTATGTGGCAATATCTAGTCCCTTACCCCAATGACTTGCCAAGGGATCAATAAGTTCTGTCTAATCTAAGCAAGGTTCCTTTCAAAAGTTGGGTTGCTTCGTTACAATCCAAAATGGTTGCATCCATAAATATCCATCTAAAAAGAAAAAGCAAAGTACTGACTTCTATTTTGGTGTGTGGAAACATCTATCCATTTTATGCTTATATATTAAACTTGCAAGGTGGATAACTTTAAAGTGTAAGCAACCAAGTTCCATTTTGGTTTGTGGCTGCATCTAGGCTTAAGATAGGTCACAGTCAAAAATTCAACAACAAAAAAATCAAGCTTGCCATATGTAAACTAGCCACTCCTAGCATTTGAGGAAACTATGCTTTCTAGTTTTAATAATACTTAATAGTATACACAAAGTTTGTTTTCTCAGTCATCCAGGTATATAATCATCCAAGAGGCTTCGTCAGTCTGAGGCCTAGCCATCTGGTATTAC